ACTACTAATCTGGTTTGTCGTCGCAAGCTTAAGATTTGAGGGAGAAGCGAAGAGCAGGAGGAGAGGAGTGCGGGAGGAAGCAGCAAATGGCGATGTGGAGGGAAAGGAGGGAAATTTGATTTTAATTTTAGCAATGATTTTACATTTGTTTTTTGTTAGTCATTTGTTTTTTGTTAGTCGTGGTGGTACTGAAAGGGAATGTATGCAGCCTAATGGTCCCAGGCATCCTTGCTCATATATTTTAGTTTCTTCGCGTCTTCTACATCTCCGATTCCTCCTCTCGTTTTAGTTATCGTTTAACCGATAATCCGCAAATACTGATTGCTACTGCGCTGCTTTGTTAGTATTGCGAATGCGAATTATTCCTTCAGTAATCTAATGATGATTGAACACACGAATGGCATTGGGTTCAGGAAGCAGCTGTTGAAAATGGGCAGCAGGTACTTGCCGGTGGTGTGCTACTTCGGCGCCTCTCGGAATGGTGAAAGTTTGATCGAATTTTGACTTTGACAACATTTTGCAGTGGCCTGTAACGCCGAGATGCAAGAACACGGGAGTGATGGTAATGCAGGCACATCCCTGAAATCTGTCAGTAATTCATAGATGTTGTCGGTGATCAGAGCTGTGATCATTGTTTTTATCTAATTTATTTTGTCTATACTTGAATAAATGCGTTCAAGCAAATATTTTGTGCTCAGAAATTTTGAGTTCCACTGTTGTGGGAATCTATTTTGACTAGCCGCATTTCACAGCGTAGCACAGAAGCAACTGACACAACGAGTGCTAAGTCGCTTGGAGTTCATTGTGCTAACATTTGTTTGTTCTTCTGAATGGCTTACCAGCTCAGCCAGTTTCCCTCACAGAAACATTTTAGCAAAAGCGATCTCTCTTTGTTGAGCATCAGCAGTTGATGGCACCCCTAGATTACGATGAAGTCACAGGAACATACCTTTCAACTTACCGAAAAAATCTGTGCAGCTGGTGCTTTTTCAGCAGATCTCTCATTTTTGAGCTTTGTAATCCGAGTTTACAAACATCACCTGCACCGCAGTGTCTTGGCGCAAAACGGCGCAATCGTCGCGTCATTGTTGCTACAAGAACTCGCCTTCTGTTGCGTCTGATCGCCTGGCTATTTTGTTTTGCCAAGCAATAAAATTTGCAGTTAGCTAGGGATTATGAGGATTCAATGTGAGGTGTGGAACCGTTGGTAGCATACCTGAGAGATAAATCTAGGAAGACTGATTGTGCCGCATCGTGGGCCCGAAATGCGGATAATGGAGGATTGTAAAGGGGATGTCAGCTTTAAACAACTTTAACCACAAATCGTTTCAAATATCGAAGTATTCACAAGTGAACAGCATGAAACAACATATATCATTCACACTGATCGGATTAGTCATAATCGTCTTCGATATCGAAGAACGGCCCCAGCGATGGAAAGTGTACGGAAGCGAATCCGTTCGTGCCACCAACTGATGCA